AAGCGCATGAAATCACGTGTGTGAATGATATGGCACCATTCTCGGCAAACAAGCCTTGCCTCATAAATATCTTTGCCTGGGATGCGTGCAAGGACTTCCATCAACAACTCATCGGATAGAGAGTCTATGCCTGAAGTTGGCCTCTTCTTTTTACACCTCCTCGGGTAGAATGTGCGCCCACCAATAATCTGCATATGGTGGGGAAAAACTGAGAATTTGACCTAAAAAATACAAATTATTTATATAGATCTAACCTAATCTAACCTAACCTGGTGATCGCGTGGAAGCAGGAATTTGAAGGGTGCAACCTCAGCGCTCCCTTCTTCTTTGCTGGCAGCCTTTGTTAGGCGAAGCGGCGGTGGCTGCCGCACCATTGACTCCGGGATCTCAGGTGACCACCGAGTTCTCTGAGAAATAAGCCTATACATCTATTAACGATTTGCATACAAAACTCTGATAAATAAACAAATCAGAAAAAAAAAGGAAAAAAAAAAAAGGAGACAGGGATCCCGCACAATCTATATTTTCTACTTTGACAACCCCAATATATTTAGGAATGGGGGGAAGGGGAGATGGAGACGACGGAAGTAGGGTTTGAGGAGAAATCAAAAGATATATAACTCGACCCTGACTTCGGGGTTAGCGGGTGTATTCAATTAGAGCGAGTGTATTGAGAAAATTACAAATTTGGTCCTAAAACTTTTGTTGTTTCCCACATTTGGTCTTAGGCACGTCAATTATGGTCCTTTTTTAATTTTTGTTGCCAAAATGGTCCCACTCCGTCAAGACTTAACGGTCAACGTTTATAGCATGGGATCAAATGTGGGAAACAACAAAAGTTTTGGGACCAAATTTGCAATTTTCTCAAAAAGTAAGTGATAAAAATTATTTAAATTTATTTTTATTAGAAACATTTATTATTTAATTGGGTAACTTAACAAAAGGTGTATAAAAAAATTTTATTAATTAGTTCATGATAAATGAGATGCAAAAAAAAATATATGATATATTTTACTATAAATAAGTGTGAGCAAATGTCTATTTTCACTTATTTAATGCCAAATTTTGTTTTATTATGCTTAAGATTGAAATTTTTTATGTAGATGTAATTTGCATAAATAAATAGATTTTTCAATTTATAGTTGTCAAAATCAAATTGATAAATACAAAATTATTAAAATAAAAATAGACAGTAATAAAAAAAATTGTTTAGATTGGTTTTTTTTTTTTAATTCGTATTATTTAATAAAGTTTGTAAGGATATATATATAAATTATCACATTATACTAATATTTAAAAGTGTAGACGGATTAGTATTATTGTAGGCATACTCACATTTTTTCTTATTTTGATAAATTGGATTATGTCTTTTGGTTTTCTTTATTTAATTAAAATAATATTATTTCTAAATATTCTTTAATTTAACTAATATTCAAATAATTGCAAATATTTTTTAAGTAATGACGGTAAAAATATTAGAAAATAAAATAAATACCACACAATTAGCAATTATATCGTTTACTTTTCCACCCAAAATTAAAATTTATCAACGCCTTTACGTTTCCACCCGATATTTATTTTTATAAAATTATTTTAAATATTTATTTCTCGCATAATATTCATATTAAATTAATTTTATTATGTCATTTCGGCTTTGAGTAAATGAGAGAGACTTGAAGAATTTGAAGAATTCATTTTTTTTTAAAAAAAAAATTACAAATTTAGTCCCAAAATTGCAAAATTGGTCCAATCTAACGTCCTCACACGTGCCCCGTCAATATTGACGGACGTGGGACCATTTTGGCAACGAATATTTAAAAAGGACTATAATTGACGTGCATGGGACTAAATTTTGGGAAACATCAAAAGTTTTGGAACCAAATTTGCAATTTTCTCTGAGTGTATTTAATTAGAATTTTAAAAACTTTTTTGAAATTTTTTAAAATGAGAGAATCGTAAATTTGGTCTCTTGACTGTTTTCTAAATTTGGTCTCAGACACGTTAACTATAATTATTTTTAATTTTTCAGTATTAAAATGGTCCCGCTCCGTCAAGACTTAATATTCTCGCTAATTAATATATATATATATATATATATATATATATATATACATACATATAAAATGTTTGACATTTACCTGAAATAGAAGTAGAAATCCCACCTAAAATTTTTAAAATTACTAAATTTGGTAATTTTTTTGAAAAAAATCAAAAATATCCCGCCAATATAACTTAAACTAGTACGTGTAACCCGTGCGATGCACGGGCTGTAATTATTTGGTGGAATATTATAAATTGAATGAGATGAATCAAAAAGTAATAAACATTTTAAATTTAGTCATGAATGTAGTTTTTTTTTTTTATGTTCGTACAGGTGCTTTTTTGTATGGCTGTGATAGGAAATTTATTGTCCTCATACTCGTTTTTAAGAGCAACAAATATCTTTTAACATCAACATCAAATATGAAATAAAATATTTTGGATATTATAAATTGATGTGATAGATATCAAAGACTGTTTATCTCGTGAAAATGCTAGTTTTATGGCAATTTTAGAAAACAGTTACCATAGAATGTGGATTTTGTGATTATCTTGTTTATTATTTCAGTAATTTTATTCATCAAATGAAAATGTAGTATTTTAAATTATTTTGTACGTTCCATAAGTGATTTAGTTTGTCTAATTTGTAGTTCTTGTGATAATATATATTGACGTGATAAATTATTATGTTTATCAACTGAAAGGAAAATATTAAATCAAGATTATAAAATTATTACGTTAATATTGGATTCGTGATTATCTATTTATTTTACTATTTGTGATTATCTATTTATTTTAACATTTTTTTTAAGATTCATATCATTGTAATTTTATACATTGAATGAAAGTGTAATCTTTTAATTTATTTTGTTAGGTTCCATAAGAGATCTAGTTTGTATAATTTGTAGTTAATGTGATATATTTGTATTGACGTGATAAAATATTGTATTTATCAGTATAAAGGAAAGATATTAAATTGAGATTTTTAAGCAAACTCTGTAAATCAGATCTTTACCAAAAAAAAAAGAAAGAGAGAGATAACATTAAAAAGAAATCGTGTATTAGAATTTATCCAAAAGAAAAACCAAAAATAAAAACTGAATATTAAAAGAAGATTTTTAAGTAAACTGTGTGAATCAAATCTTTTCCGAAAAAATATCGAAAACTTTACAAATGAATCGTGTGTCAGAATTTCTCCAAAATCAAAACCAAAAATAAAAACTGATTTTCATTTCAAAATGCAAGACAAAAAATATGCTAACAGACTTGATAAAATAAAAGCTACCCATATCATAACAAAATCCGATTTTTTTTTGCCAACAATTACTATATATAAGATACATTTAATGTATTTGGCGGGAAAACATTTCAAAAATTGTAAAAAGGATATTATTTTTATATAATGATAGATGTACATTCCAAATAATTAAGTTTAGTTATCGCGAAGTCCTCTTCATCGTTTTTAGGGTAGCTTTATTATATTTATATGGATAATATATCCAGCATATTTGTATTTTTAAAGATAATAAATCGATGAAAACATAATATGGAATATATACCTTTATCATTAGTCTCGACCAATTTGATTACTTTATCTGTATAACTTTGAAATGAACTCTTTACAATGTATTTGTTTTTTTAATTATTATTTAAGTTGTATATATTGCATACCTATATGTTAAAAAAATAATATTTTTCTATTGAAATATGCGATTTATATATATGTATATAAAAACTTATAAATTAATTTTTCAATAAAGATTAAATTTTGTATTTTTATTTTTTATTATAGCATTCCCATTTACAAAATTGTTACCATGATTAGTGTAAAAAGTTTAACAAAATAATTGTCACGTGTAAAAAGATTAATAAAAAAAGAAGGTTTTCATGATAATGGATTTGTATATATCTAAGTCATCTTCTCTTGAAATACCGCAACATCCGTCCGCAGAAACGTGTTCATAAGAGAAGAATTAACTCAAAAACTAAATTTAACCAAATAAATTACAAACTCATTTCCTTTTTTCACGGCTACTTATCTTAAACAATTACTCATTTGATGGATGATACCATAATTTAAACTCGGCTTGATTACCTAAAAAACAGGAAATAAAAAACAGATCGGTAGACATATGAAAATGTGATTTGTTAGACAGGTGAGTTTAGTCAAACAAATTCTTATATATATATATATATATAGAGAAGGGATCATATGAGAATGGTAGATAATGAAAGAAATAAGAATGATCATGGACCATTGGATTCATCAAGTTAATGGCTATGATCAAGTCAAATATTAATAATTGCAGTCAAACATGGGATGGCATTACGGTAAATAAATGGACATATTATGGTCAAATATATGTATTTGACCACTTAATAAGAATAAATATGTCATTTATCACAATTTCACTTGCCAGTGGGACCCACCCAAAACCCACTCACCGTCACTGTCTCACCTATCTCCCTCACACACACACACATTTCTCTCACACACACACACACAATCACGCACATATGCTCTGCATCACTCACACAATCACACACTACACACACATAAACGACGCACGCACACATCCCTACATCTAGGGCGCCGCCGCAGTCGCCGGCGAAGTCGCCACCGCCTGATTCCTCGGCAACCCGACCTCCGCCGGACCAATCGACGCAGCCTCCGTCCTCAGTTGGACCCCAACTTGACCACTGCACACACCAGGTCTCAACCTCGTCGAAGTTTCAGTTCGCCGCCGCCGTCTTCCCGGCCCGTCCCGTCGCCGCTGTTATCATCTCCGCCGCTGAAACGGTCCCGTCGAGCTCCACGATGATATTCACGGCCACCAGACCCGACGTCACTCCGGTCAGGCGCGGCCACTAGCCAGTCTAGTTTCACTTTGGCCGTCACGGCGAGTGGCATCATGTCGGCGGCGGAGAGTAAGTCCTGAAATTATTTTTGGTTGGTGAAATCAAAGTATCCGATGATGGAGGCGTCTGATATCGGAAAGGTGGTCGCCGAACAGGGTGAGGTATTCCGGTGGCCCCAGGGTAAGTTCCTCGACGATGGCCTGGCCAAGAACAGTGGATTGATTTTCAGATTTATGATAGGGCCTTATTTTTGTAAATTTGAAAAGTTTTAGGGGCATATGTGCTAATTTGTAATTAATCAAATTTTATTAAGATTTAAATATTTACATTTAATGTTCAGGCGCACGATTCAAAGTAGCCCACCCACTATTCATTATATGCTGCATAATACTGGCACATTTAATTAAAAAAACTAGAAATTTATTTCTTGAAAAGTCATAACCAATAATTTAATATGAAATTAAATGTTGTTTGGTAGGTTGTGGGCCTTGTGGCCGTTATATTCCATATGCATAATTTGCATATGTACCCAATCTATACTTATATAATAAGAATTAACATTTATCCAAAATAGTAGGTCAAATTATGGTCAATGTCGGATTTGCATTAAATATTTTCCAAAACTGGTAAGTTTTTGTCCTTTTCACACTTCTCATTAATTATGTCATTTTCACACTTCTCATTAATTATGTCCTTTTCACACTTCTCATTAATTATGTCATTTTCACACATCTAATTAATTCATTAATTACGACATAATTATCATAAATCATTCCATCTGAGCTTTTATCGTTAAAATGTATAGCGATCTGTTATGACCTTATCCCATTGATATTTCCATGAAACGTCCTTATCGCGTTCTATTTTTTGGTAATCACTCTATATCAATAACCGGATATTTGGTTAATGATAGCACACGTCTTTATTTCAAGGAGCGGATATTCTTTGACCTTTAATTAATCTGAACTGATTGCCTTGACTTTTCAATTTTTAGAAACTCTTTTTTTAAATATTTCGGCTTAAGATTCGGATTTCATTATACAAGTTATCGGATTGTTTGAATGAAAATGAATGAAAAGAACACCAAAAACAGGTAGCCTTATTTATATAACGAATCCTAAAATATTAGTTTGTTCACCAAAAAGAGACAAATCCTATGAATCCTAAAATATTAGTTTGTTCACCAATCCTAAAATATTAGTTTGTTCACCAAAAATATTAGTTTGATTTTTAGGATTTGTCTCTTTTGAAAATATTAGTTTGTGATAATGAGGAGTTACCAAATAATCAAACTCATAATGTTGTGTACAAAGAGGATTTTAATAATATATGATTGTTACCGAACTTTTTATGATTCAATAATGTTCCTATGTATTTTAATGATTTCAATTTCGATCCTAATGCACGTGCGGTTATATTATTCTTCCAAATTTTACATTCCGTGCATCGCACGGGTTACGTACTAGTTGTCAATAATAATAATAATTAAATGAATAAATATAGTATTGTAGTTATTATGTAGACGTATTTTTTGTTTGCTTGTTTGATTTGTGGCTGGAAAATAATAACTCTTTACATTAAAAATATAATAATGAAAATAATATTTTTTTATATAGTTCGGTTGTTCGGTTTTCTAAATAAAAAAAAACGATATCAAACCGGCATAATCGAGTTTTTAAAAACAAAAAAATAGCAATTGAAACGAGATTTAAAAAAATTGAAATAAAATTATTAATTTGGTGGAAAATATTCGATATTGTGCAATCCAATTATCAGTAATGTGCAATGCGTATAACCTTAATGTGCACTCGCAATACTTGAAAATATATAAAATAATAATAATATATTTCATATAATACGGCCATTTAAGTTATTTTGGTTATCTTAAAAAAATAAAGCCGACACCGAACTAAAATAATTACGTTTTAAAAATAAATATAACTAATCGAACTAAAATATAAAATTTTAAATAAAAAAATTAAATTATTCGGTTTCAGTAGCTATTAGTAATTGATAGTCATAAATGTGCATCTCGTCTAATAATATTGTGCACTCACATTGTATTCATTTTTTATTCACATTGAACCAAACTAAAAATGGACCGACATAATCGATTTATTCTATCAGTTAATCAAAATACCACAATTAATCACAACGATTTTTTATTTATATTATAAAAATATATTTAACATTTTAGCATTATATTTATATATATATACATATACACATATAGATTTTTATTTTGTTTTTTTTTAAAGACCTAAAATATATGTGCTAACAAAATATAACAAAATATATTAAATATTATGTCGATCTATTTTTTTTAGATGTATTTGTGCGGTATTTTGTGGGAGTTATCGACATTAATTGTGGAATGTCGTGATAAAGTGCAATGTGTTGATTTATAAAGTGCAACGTTATGTTTTAAAAAGTGCAACGTGTTGATATATAAAGTGCGCTGCGGCAATTTTATACGTTAGTATGCTTGTGTTTTCCGTATACGGATGATGTGATGGATGTTAAATTAGTACGTAGATATAATTTTTTTAGATTTATGATGTGTAGTATTTTGGCGGAATCTATTGCAATAATTCTGAATTACATAAAGTGCAATGTGTTGTTTTATAAAGTGCAACGTGTAGTTTTGTAAAGTGTAACGTGTTGATATATAAAGTGCACTACTTTATACAATCCGAGAAAGCTATCGCAATAATTCTGGATTGTATAAAGTGCAATGTGTTGTTCTATAAAGTGCAACGTGTAATTTTATAAAGTGCAACATGCTGATATATAAATTGCCCTATTTTATATGATTTGATACAAATTATGTGTTTTCTGAAACTAGATTTAGTATATATAATTTTACATCAAATTAACCTAAATAATTGGAATATTTCATATTTTATTTTTATAAAAAGTATACTTAGTATTTTATTATTTTTATATTATTTTTTGGTTAAAAATATAATATATAAATGTGTATAAAAAATATATATAAAAGATAACATTCTAAATATATTTTTATAAATTGCAGATTTGCCTATGAATTAAATTGAAAATAATCAAAATTACTAAAATTACAAATAGGCCCCTCAAAATGATCTAATTTTCAAAAAAAAATAAAAATAAAAATAAAACCCCCAAAATCCCTAATCCTAATCTGCAAACTCCCGTCACTCACTGCCATCTCCGACGCAATTCGTCCGGCATCGAACCGGCTCCGGCTTTTCTCTGTCAATCCATCTCAGGAAGTACTGTCATCGTCCAATTTATCTCCGCCGCGTGGATAGTCGTTGGAATCATGCGTGAAACATACCTCCACGGTGCCACCTCTCTCGACCGCTGTCGTGCGTCTAGAAATTCTCCGGTTGTTGTCGCCGGAGGAGACGGCCGTCGGAAAGGGATGCGGTCGAGATGGATCGACTGCTGTAGAGATCGAACGCCAGTCGCCGGAAAAAGGATGCGGCCGCCATACCATTAGCGATGGCCGCCGGGGGTGGTCGAGCATCTGGTGGTGGCCGGGTTCACTGTGTGTTCCGCCAGAAAGTGATGCGGCCGAGATGGAGCGATGGCTGTAGAGATGGAACGACGTTCATCGGAAAATAATGTGGCCGACGGACCTTGAGCGACCGCCGCCGGCGGGTGGTCGAGCATCTGCTGATGGTCGGGTTCATTGTGTGTTTGTGTGTGCAGTCAGTGTGTGCGTCTGTGTGTGTTGTGTGTGTGTGTGTGTGTGAGTAGTGTGTGTGTGTGTGTGTAACAGATTATATGTGTACTGTGTGTGTGCGTGTGTTGGGTGTGTGTGTGGCGTGTGTATGCTTGTGTTTTGTGTGTGGGGATGATGATGTGGCATGGTGATATGGTAATGAGTGTAATGGTAATGTCTAAATTACCCTTAATGAAGATATAATTTTGACTTTTTTTTAGTCAATAGATCATTCAATCTAATGACTACGATCCATTCTTATTTCTCGCATTAAGCATCATTCTCACCGGAGCGTGACCCTATATAGATATATATATATATATATATATATATATATATATATATTTGAATTGTATATATATATACAAATGAAATCCAAATCCCAAAAAAACTGAAAACGTGCATGCATGGAATAAAAACAATTCAAATACCTGTATAAAAAAGTTCAAATTAAACTTTAGTGGGGAAAAACAGCTTTTAAGCGGGAAATTGAAATATTTTTTCAAACATTTTTTCTTCTCTGTATTTTATAGTAATAGATTTTGAATTTAAAAAATAATTTGCTATTTTAGGGTCATTTTCATTTGTTATGGAAACAAATTTATCTATTAATTTCAATATGAATAAAGATCTTTCCTCAATATATATCATTCCATATTAATTGCAATTAATATCACTTAAAATAAGATACTGAAATCAGATCGTATTTTAACTTATGAATTAGATCAAATATATTCCTAATATTTTATAGCATGAAATATTTACGGCTTTTACACTATGAATATATTATTTTAAAACGTTTCACACTTTTATAATGCATGTATTAAAAATATAATATCGGATGACGCATTGTATTTTTCTTTTTCGGATAAGTATTTTATAATGCATGTAGTGGAATATATTATCTTATGTGGCGCAGTTTTTGCAAAAAACTATATATCTTGGCTTATAGACGAATCTTGCTACAGTTTTACTTACAGAAACATTTAAAAAAAAAAATCTATACCAAAGTAAATTTAAATCATGTTGATTTACTCAAAGCAAGAAAAAGAAATTTGTTTATTTTTTTCGTCAACATTTTTTAATAGAAAAAATGTGGTTTGCAATGGGGAATAGACATTACTTGAAATTTTAAGTGACCGCATTATCAGGAAGAAATAAAATCTATGCATTTTTTATATGCCATTCAAAGTGATATGGCCATATTATGATATACCGGTCTAAACACTCGTTACTCGACCCAGGGGGCGGTTTGAACCGACGACATATCGACCGGATAATCTCAAAGTCAACATCCCGAAGGTCGACTTCTTGATAGTCGACCTCCTCCTGAACTAACCGAAGAAAGAAGCTGATTTTACCAAAGTCGACGACCTTAAAGTCTACTCCGTGTTATCGAGTCCTTTAAAGACAACCCCTAACAAGAAGACGAACGAGCGTAGCCTCCGAGCATGCACACGAACCCTAAGTCGACCTCGCAGTGCTCGAGGTCGACTCTTTACATCTCGAGACGTAAAAAGTGCTGACGACCTAGCACACTTGTAGCATATCTAAGGCTCCATATCTTCTAATGGTAAGAAGGAATCTTGTGATGACTCAGCAACAATGGAAGGCGAATCGACCGGGGTATTTCGGACATTTCAAGTAAATTCGACCAGGGCGTTTTGGGTACTTCAAGTAAGTGTTTCCTCCTATATAAAGGAGGTGAGATAACCCTAAACCCTAACTTCCATTCATACACACTCTCCTCTATAGCTGCTGATGCTGCTCTTTCAGAGCAGCTTCTCTTCATCTCTTTCACATACTGACTTGAGAGTCGGAGGCTCTACGCCGGAAACACTTCCGGCGTTGAGTTCTTGCAGGTGTTGTTGCGGTCTAGCAACTGTTCGAATGCGACTCAAGTAGATCTAAGCTCATTACCACCGGTTCACTCTAGATCTGAGAGGAGAAACCCATCACAAAGGTTTTAAATTCAAATTATTTTCAAATATTTTATATTTAAATTAATTTTAAAAATCTATCTATCTATAACTATATATATAAAAGATTTGTATTTACCTAAAATAGTAACCAAAAATTCCTGTCAAAAAATTTCCTTTTTACCTTAATTAATAACTTTTTAAAATATTTTAAAAAGTGACGGCCACTCATTTGAAATTCAAATTAAAAAAATTAATGTAATTAATGTACAAAAATATTTTGATCAAATATTACGACTATTACCTTTATCAGTTGTATGGTTTAAATTTGGTATAAATTATATTGACGAAAAAAGAAAAAGTTTTTTTATCTAAAATTAAAAGCAGTAATCATCGGATATTTTTTTAATAACAATTCGGGATAATTTTATATAATTATGTATGTCCTACTCAATTTAAAATAAAATAGTGGATAAATATAATTTCAATAAAAAATAATAACTTTCAGCATGATGAAGTTGGAAGACGGAAAGAAAAAAAAAACAAAGAAAAATGTGATTAACAAGGGCACGCGGTATTGCAAAGGGAAAAACAAATTGGAAGGATCATATCAAGAATTTATATTTGGAAAGGAAAATCAATAGATTCATGAGAAAAAAATTAATTAATTGTGGTATATTAAGAAAGATTGAGCTAGAGAACTTTAACTACTGAATGAAAAGAAAAACAGGAAAAAATAAATCAAAATTCCTATTAACAAATTAAACATTTGACCATCAATATGTAACTTTGAAAATGATTTTAAGAGGCATGCTAATCTATAGTAATATAAAGAGGTTGTTGGAAAAATACTTTTATAGTAAGTTTGACTAAAAAAATAAATGATTTGACTTACTATCAATGGAAATTTCGAAAAAAACACATGTACAAAAAAAATTGAGATTTTTATGGTAACAAAGTTGAAAATTTTTATGATAACAAATTTAAATAAGATATCCCAAAAAAATTAGAGATTTTTATGGTAATAAATTTGAAGATTCCTATACCAAAATTTAATTCATTTTAAATATTAATCAATAAGAATCTACTTTTATTGGTAACAAATCTGAAGATTGTTATGCCAAAAAATTGAGATTTTGAATTGAAATATTCCAACAATTATGGATTTTTTTTCCATTCAAATTAATGTTGTAAATCAAACAAAAAATTATTCCAAAAATAATGGATGTTATACCAACTATTGATAAACTCCAATCCCATAAGAGATTTCTATGGGATTCTTATGGTAACAAATTGGAGATTCTTATGCCAAAAAATTGAGATATCTTAACAATTTCGGATATTTTCCCCTTCAAATTCATGTTGTAAATCAAACAAAAAATTATTCCGAGAATGATGGATGCTATACTAAATATTGATAAACTCCAATCCATAGGAGATTTTTATAGGTTTCTTATGGTAACAAATTGAAGATTCTTATGGTAACAAATTTGGAGATTCTATTTTTATTGGTAACAAACTTGAAGATTCTTATGCCAATGAGATTTTGAATTGAGACATCTCAACAATTATGGATTTTTTTTCATTCAAATTAATGTTGTAAATCAAACAAAAAATTATTCCGAGATAATGGATGCTATACTAAATTAATATCACTGGGCCCACACGTTAATATGATATTAATTAGATAGATAAATTACGTAAATCTTCTTTAACAAAATGCGTTCCAATATTGTTAACCAATTTAATAGAATTTTGTTAACTAATTTGATAGGATTTTGGTAACCACGGGATTTTGTTAGCTTTTCATGGAAACACGTATCTTCATTATTGATAAGGTTTGATAAGATTTTGTTTCCAATTTTTTTTCCTCTCTCGAAAGTTTGATAAGGTTTGATAAGATTTTTTTTCCTTTTTTTTCTCTCTCTCGAAAATTTGAGTTGTGAATTTGAAAGAAAATAAATAAATAAAATAAACATATCATATTGATAAAGTTTTAGTGTGGGCATAAAAATCAATTTTATTTGATTGAACTTTGTTTTATATAAACCTAAGAGAATCAAATGTTTGAAAAAATAAAATATTAATAGTAAATAATCATACCATATTTGTAAGGTTTGATTTGGAATATAGAGGCATAAAAATCAATTATGATTTGATCACATTTTGTTTTATAGAAGTTATCTTAGAAAATTTTACACGTTTCAAAAAATTAAAGATTAATAGTAAATTAAAGTTTTGGATTTGTCCAAATAAATATAAAAATAAAAATATTATTTTTCAATCTATCTAAAATGTCTTACCAAATTTCATTGTAACAAACTCCATTATTTTTGGCTGCATAATCTTCTGAATATTCGTTTCGCATTTTTTTTTTATTTTTTTAATAAAACCGATAACACATATTTTTAGAAGTCAATCATAATCATAATTAAAAAAACGGATCGGATCATATTAAATAATAAATACCTTACATAAATAATTTTTTATTTCTCAGACATATGTCACATACACATGACTATATAAACATCACCAACTTTGAACAAAAAGTATTCGACATCCAATATATCCCACAAAACAATTTTTTCTACAAGCTTTTACATCACCATTGAAAATGGCTTCGGATTTTGAAGTAATCAAGGATATCAAAAGATCTAAAAAGCCACCAATCAAGCTACGCATAATTATGATGTTCCAACGAGTTGAAGACGTACGCAAATTACCGAAATGTTCTTGAGATTATCTTTCATGATTTTGAGATAATATATTCATTTAGTATGATTTAAATTCATCATTTTATGCAACATCTTTTATAATTTATTTATTGAATTATTCATTATGCAATGTTTTAGG